CTCCTGCTGGGAAGAGGAGTCATCCTGTCTCTGTAACCCCTAACATCAGTCTCGCTGTTGTGTGTTCAGAGGAAATGTCCTTTCTACTGAAGAACTGATGCACATGAGGAAATCTTTATAAACTGCTTTCTGCGAACAAGAATTTACAGTAAATTTATAGCACTATTACAACAAAATGAAAGTAATCCAAACAAGCACAAATCACCATGAACAAGCATTAGACCTCTTCAAATAAAATATAATTCCAGTAATTCTGGAAATTTTTCACTTTAATGCTTTTACAGAGAAACACTTCTCTCTTTCAGAAAGCTTTCCACTAAAACCAGCTTGATGCTTAAAACATCAACAACTCCTCTTCCTTTAACTCAGAAATCCCAAACCTTTTCTTAACTGAAATAGTGGAGGAGCCAGGGGGCCTATGGAATCCACAAGAGGCCTTACTTCTGCCACTTGATTTTCCATGAAAAGTGGTCAGCTGCTGCAGTACATGCTCTAAAACACTCCGTTTAAGAAATATTGGGATGAAAACTATAGAAAAGCTTGACTAGAATAAATTCTTATAACGTCTTGTGAATTTGCTATGGTATTCCTGACATACCACATGGAGCTGTGTGCTAAATAAAATCAAAAATTTGGTGGTTCATTCTAACTTCTGTTGCATGAAGCTGCTTTGTTGTTTTGTCACAGCTATGGCCCTGTTTCCTCTCCTAATTTGTTGTGCTTGCTCAGTGAAATTGAATCCCACATCATTTAAGGCAAGTCTTGGAGAAGTTGTTTTGCTCCGTGCAGATGGCTTTTTCCTCCAGATGTGAAAGGCAGTTAAGAGCTGCCTCACTTTTTCTTAACCCTTCTGAATCATTTTGAAATCCTGTTGATGCTGTGGCTGCCATAGTGCCATGGTTCTTGCCCCATCGCTGATTTTCTCATGCCTATAAGCTGTCATGCATGTCAGTCACAGCATACACTATACAGGCTCCTTCTGTAGGTTGCTTTGGTTTGTTTGGTTTGCTTTCTTGACTGTTTTAATGAGGACTAAGTAAAATTCAGGAGCACAGCAGCCCCTGGGAGATGTCACTGCTGGAAGTTCCTGTGGCAACTTGGCGCCAGTGAGAGTGCAGCCCTTCGTGTTTGTGGCTGCAGATGTTCCAGCCTTGCATCTTCAGCCCAAAGCAGTCAAGAGAACCTGTACCGTGGCCATTTCCCTTCACCCTGCCTGTTTCATTTGGGAACACAATGAGCTGTCAAAATTTCCTGCCTTGTTTCCACAGAATCCTTCCTTTTGCTCTAAAAGGGATTATTTATCTAAAACTACTAATTGCATAAATTGTCAGAACAGTCGTTTAGCTTGATTTTAAGGTGGAGAGCAAAGAGATGTAAAGCTCTGTTTGACTGATGAAAGTCACCCTCTGTCAAAATGCAAAAAAGAAAGTCTGGTGTGTCACCATGAAGGGCCCTGGCCTCTTGGACATTAAAAACCGTGTGATATGTTGTACATGTGGTGCAATCCCTGTTCTCAGTCTCTCTGTTGAGTGTACTTAGATGTAATTAAAATTAATAGGGAAGTATATAAATGTTTTCCAAATATGTGAGCCAAGAGAAAATGGAGTAAGGGAGGTGTGGTTGATTTAGCCCACCACCATTTCCTAACTAATCTTTCTCTAATGATGTAGAGAGAGACTAGGTGGCACCTGGTGAAGTATTTTGAAATAACACATTCATGAGGTAGAGCTACTTGATAACATCTTTGACTCATCAGAAACTTGCCTTCCCTGAGTATAAAGTTAATAATCGTAGAATATAAAGATTTTAGTGGCTTTTCCTAAGTGAGCAGGGATGCAGATTTATTGTGCGTATAGATTCCTATAGTGCTACAGACAGCCCAAACTTATATTATCTGTAAAAAATGTAAAATAGCCTATTGGAATCATCAGTAATTTGCCATGACTTCAGGTCCTTGGCTTTGCTAGTTAAGTAAAACTCATTCACGTTTCTTACTAATGGCATCATTACCTCCCTTGCTTTCTCTCTCTTTGCTGGAATTGCTTGTCTGGATAGCGTACATAAGTGTCTGAGTTGGCTGGTCTTTAGTTTGGTATGAGACATCAGAAACACCATGAGAGGAAGCTGAACTACCAGTAAGAGGCAGGTAGCTGGGCCACAGAGCAGTTGGGGCAGAAAAGGTGACAGTGGTAGTGAACTTTTATTTTAAATAGTTTTAGCTGTATGTACCTGGTATCTCCCAGCTTTGTGTTATCATCAAGTACTGCTAGAGCTTTTCTAATTCTATGTCAAGATCATGAATAAAAATTCTTTAGGACCATTCCCAATACGAGTTTTCTAAAAATCACAGAGTTCCTAAGAAAAGGTTTCCTACCAGTGCACCTTGTTATCTTCTAGTTTTTTCCAACTTTAGCTTTTGTACTCATCTCTTGCCTTCTCTTATATGTTTAGCAAAGTCCATATGGTTGAATTGCACTTAAGTGTGTCATGTGGTCTATTTTTGGTAAGCCCACGTTGTTTTTTCTTCTGTATTCCAGCGTCTACCTACCTTTAGTGTCCTCTTCCCTGAAATCTGGGGTGATATGATTGAGATCAGAGTTAAGCAATCTTTTTGATACGTAACTGTGTATGATTTTGGTAACTCTCTAGTACTATGGTACCTCACTTGATCTGATATATATATTATTTCATATCCAAAGAGAAAATCAGTCTTTCTGGGTTTACAGTATTATATGTCATGAATGTTTTTTTAAGATTTTTGGAGTTTGAGTTACTCTCTTTTATTAAAAGTATCTGTTGAATTAGTCACAAGTGCCATGTTTTTCAGTGTGTTAATGGAGGGGACTGTTTGCAGCTTACTGTTAATTCATTGGTGCCTACAGAAAAACAAAAGCCTCGGTCAAGGCATGCTCTGAATTTACACCCATTCTTAATTTGCTGATGCCTGTATTAGTAACAAGCTCAAACCTGCCTAATTTTTTTTACTTTATATAATGTGTACCATATGTTTGCCATTCTTACTCTTTCTCCACACACCAGCCAATCTGATGGGGCTACCTGTGACGGAGGGCAGTGCTTTTGAGTCTGGGTGCTGCTTTATGGGCTCTGGCACGTGAGTGCTGATGAATCTTGCTTTGGTGTTTTGCAAAGTCTCCAGCTGTATTTGCTCCACCCTTCTGCCCTTTAACACAAGGATTGTAGGGAAATACCTTCATATACCGTCATTGCCACAAGTTGCACATAATTTTAAACTGCTGACGAAGGTAGATGATACCTTCAAAGGTATTATCATACCTTTGAAGAGGAACAGCTGAAGAGTAGGTAGAGGTTTGCACCTCCTGCTCCTGCTATCAGGAGGGGTAAGTGGGGTCAACAACATCTTGAGTTGTTCTGGACTGGTTCCTTAGAGCGAGTGGTTGGCAAGTGAGAGCTGAGAATGAGGAACACATGTTCTGTCTCTGGAAACAAAAAAGCAAAGCGAAAGTAAGGGTGAGAGAAAATAGATTTGTATTTATAATCAAAAGTGACTGTGTTTGAAATATTCTTAATTTGCATGCACGCTCATATGTCTTTCATACCTCTAAGGACCCCTTGAAGGCACGGAAGTTTTTCTCCACCTCAAATATTTGCCTTAATAATTCTACTTGGCTTTCTTCCCTTAAACATAATTGTAAGCATATTTAAAGTGAACATTAGATAGAAGAAAAAATAACAGCATCTAACTAGGTCCTTCTTTTACTTGTCAAGATGTTTTCTTGTTTTTAAACACAGGCAGTAGAGGCTAGCACTAGCAGCCAAATTCTTAAATTAGTGTTGTTTAGGTGCTATATTTGTATATCAGAGGAAGGACAATTCAAACTAACTAATTCATAGTTTCATTGCAAAGTCTGAGAGGACTACAGTGAGACCTGTGTAAGGACGTGCAGGGGATATGCTGTCAACACTGCAGCCTCTGTTTCTGTAGAAGAGGAATTGAAATATTGAAGAACTAGAGTACTCTAATTAGAAGCTCTAAAATCTCCAAAGTTCATCTTATTTAAGAATTTTTAATATTTTGGTCTTGTTAATTGTCTGTAAAGAAACAATTACATTGCACTACAAGATATTTAAAGTTTTGGAAATATGAAAGTTACATCTGCTTCCCGCTACTTCCTGTCTACTTGGAGAGAGGTTTTGTAACTCTTACTCATCCTGAAGAGCATTTTTCTCCTTAAATTAGTTTTGCCTATTTCATCAGTATTACAGTTTAGGTCAGGAACTAATCAATCCAAATTGCATAGCAATAATAATTCCTAGTATTGTGTTGTCACCTTACCATATTTAAGTATGTATCCTAAAGCTCTGGAGTAATGCTTATCTGAGAACATCAGGTTTCACTTACATAGAGCAGCTGCAGTGTTTGAGGAGGAGGCTTACATTTTCCAGAGTGCTCAAAGAGCAGAAAGTAAAACAAAAACAAACAAGGGAAAAAACAAAAGCCACATGACTTTAAAAACAAGCTTCATACTTTTTTGGGGGGACTTTTCCATTACCTAATGATTTTGAGACCGGTCCCATAACTTGGGAGGTCAGTTGGATTGTGAGCCTAGTCCAAGGTTGAGACCTTTGTGTATGATGCCATCCTGATGTGTATGTGATGCCAACTCTGATGACAGTCAGATTTCAACTGTTCTTGCCTGGGAAAAAACCAGACCTCTGCCCTACTCCTGAAGCAGTGAGAGTCTGCTTGCTGGACAAGAAGCTGTTCAATAGGATAATGTTGTATCATTTCATCCCAGCCAACAACTGAGGGTTTTTTGTGTCTTTGTTCTGATAAGAGGATCAGCTGTAGTGCTTTACCCAATTACCCAGGGATACCATGGAAGATGGTTTTTTGGACCTTAGTTTTCCCACTGGAGGAGTGTAACGTCATCACTTTGTATAAAAAATAGATCTAGATCTAAACAACAGAGAAAGGCAGCTGTCCCTTCTAATGTCTCTGGGGATTTTGTGTTTTGCAGGAGATGCACGGGTGAGAGGTCAGACAGGAGTTCTCTCCGAGCGCCGTGGCTCCTACCCATTTATAGACTTCCGTCTTCTTAACAGTAAGTGCAACCCTTTCTTCTGTATTTAAATAAAAAAAAAAATACCTCTGTTTAGAGTGTATGAACCAAAAAGTATCTCATCTCAAACATATCTGTAGTTCAACTGTCTTCACACAGTCAGCATTAGTAATTCTATTATTCCCATCCAGTGTTTGGCTGTGAAATGTTTTGATTGTATGAATAGTGTCCATAATGCTCAATCTGTCAAGTGTAAATACAGTAGGGCCATGGGGTGTGCTGAGCGGGGGGGAGAGGGGGTGGCTCAGAATTAAAAAGATAAACTGCTGTGTCCTTTAGCCTCTTAGACAACAGTTGGAAGAGATTTATGTGAGTCTGTTATCCGGTCATATAGAATTGGCACAGAAGGGGACCATGTGACAGCACTGACCAGTGGTTTACAATAACATTAATTTTTCCAACAATTAGAACCCAATCCAAAGCCCCATGGAGTCTTCTCATTGACGTCAATGGATTTTGGGTCAGGCCAGCAGTGAACATCTGTTAAAAATAATCTTAACGTCATTTTGATTGAAGTTATTTTGCCACTGTTGTAAATAAAGAAGGGCAAATCTAAAAAGAAAAATAATAAATCAAGACCCTGTTGGGTTTTTTCACCTGATGGATTCTCTATACTGATGCAGATCCATTAGGCAGTGTGTAAAAAAACCAAAAACCAAAAAACAAAACAAATAACACTTAGTCTAGGTCCCTGTAGCATTCAGCGTGGATACCATGTCAACTTCACTGTTAAGACACAGGCAGATCTTGATAAATCCTTGTGCACTGCACAGACCCTTCTGTGTAACATTTGAAAAAAAATGTTATTCACTGTCAAACAGATTGAAACTCACAAGAGTTTTAGTGATGACACTTTTTAGCTTCTAGAGATTGTGCTTTTCATTAAAGAGCAATTATCAAACCAGAGTTTTAATTCTTCCTTTTGCTAACTTCCTGAGTGGGTGCCTGGGGAAGTGGAAGGGGAGAGTGTGGCAGGGAGCAGGGAGGAAGCCCAACACGAAGTGGGAGAACTGGCCAGGAGTCAGGAGTAAAGAGGAGCTACTAGGAAGGGGAGGACTTGGTCTCTGATGGAATGCATTCTTGCATGCTGGCAAAGTTACTATCACCCAGCAAAGTGCTACTATCAGTAAGACTGATAAAAGGTATTTTCTGGGTCATAAGTCCATCAGAGGGCTTGCTATGGCTGGAGGTAGAAAGACATCAGGAGTAAGATGGGTGCATTATTTTTCCCAGGACAGAGGGAATAACTTACTGGTTAAGCAGAGTTTTGAGGATAATTTAGTCCTAACTCACCACTGAAAAACATGAAGGAAAACCCAGTTTAGGCTAGCTGGAAATAGTACTGGTCATGACTCTTGTAGATGGAGACAAAATAAAACAATTCTTTTTATTTATGAAGTAGAGATGGATGTATATTCACACAAATGTGACTAAATTAATTATTAATTTTTTATTTTGAATACATACAGGCTATTTAAAATTCCTTTCATGTGTTCTTTCCTCTCCATGGTTAAAGAAACCAAAAACTTTCTAGCTTTTTTTTCTGATGATAGGGCTTTCACTTTTATCCTCTGTAGATTAATCCTGCCATCCTTCAGATCCTGTCAGCTTCTGGGAAATGCTGGTGCTGTCTAGGGAGACATCCGTGGTGAGGGATGTACTTGTGAATACTCAGCCTTTGATCCTTCAAGGAGCAGGGCACTCCACATAACCCCTCTGCCATAACTGCTGACTTTAAAAGTGATGCATCTTCGTGTGTGCACCTCTGGTCTGATGGAGGTGGGGCACCTGGGGTTTTATGTTCCTGTACTCTCTGTCATGGAGGCCTCTGACTAACTCTTTTTTACTGATTTTCCATAATCTGAAACCTGTGTAAGGAAAAGCAGTGATCCTGATTTTGGATTTCTCACTGTTTTCAGGTTTCTATGTATTTACTGTTTTCTGTCTTAGGAGTAGTGTTGGCTTAATTTTTCAGTAGCAAAATGAAGAGAGGTTTCTAGACATTTGACTACTGATTTTGTAGATGGCAAGTGCTGGGCCTGGCTCACTTGGTAAATGTAAAGTAAATGTACAAATAAATAAAGATGCTCAATGTCAGAGCATACAGATGTGTTTTGCCAGGAAATAAACAGGCTTTTATATTATTTGTTCATCTACATCTGTCTGTTAAACCCATTTCTGCTGTGCATACCATACAAACAGCAAAAAACATGGTGCTGTACATCCTATCAAAAAGAAATAGATAAAAATGTCACTTACTGCAGACTTTTTTTTGAGAAGTGCCTAACTAATACTTGCAGTAAAATTTTGTCACCATGTTGTATTTGTTTGGGGGCAGCAACTGTCTACTGAAAGCTGTTAGAGTAACAGACGGATGAGGCAGAGAATATTTTATGGGAAATATCCTCAGAAGTCATAAGAAAATGCAGCATAAACATTACTCTAACCTCTCACTAATAAGCTGAGCTTGAATAGTGATTATTCCCTCTATCATCTGAAAAACTATTCCAAATAACAGTACCAGCCTTGTTTTAAAGCAAGGGAAAACACTGAAGCTCATTCTTGAACAAAGTTGACATTCATTATGAAAATTGACATTTAAAAAAAAAATACAGGGCATTGATACTTAATGTCAGACTAAAGGTTACTGAAATGTAACTTCTTTTAGCAAACTTGCAGATTCAGTCAAACTAGAGGATTTTTCCCTACTTTGTCTAGTGAGGGTTAACACTGACTAGACCATATCTTTTGGTTTTTCTGGATTCCTGCAGTAAAGCCACTGTGTAACTTAAGACACCATTAAGTCTTTTTGGGTAGAAAAGCTTCCTGCTCCCTGAAAATGGGATCTTCTGTAGCCTTAATCAAAGCCAACTGGATTTATGCTGGCTTCTTGCTGTTATAGCTAATGTCTGTGATGCCATCTACACATGCCTTCGGTGCCTCTCTGCAATATGCAGAAAAGTTAGGTGTTACTGCACCTTGTCTCTGGCAGGCTGTCAGGACCCTGAGGATTTTGCAGGATCCTGTCTGAAGGACATGCAAGGCTTTAGTGTCTTCCTGTATTTTCTCTACTTCGTTGCAAGCTTTCCTAGTCATAGAAGTGACTCCGAACTTGGTAGCTCAAGCTTGTAACTGAACCTAATGCAGCTTGAAATTAATGATGGCAGTTTATTGGCACTTCTGCATTTCTATGAATTAAATGAACTTTATTGTGCTCACAGTATAGAAAAGGAGTTAAACTGAATATTTTTGGGTAATAACTTAGAATTTGAAACACTTCTTCAGTGAAAATTAATCCAATTTTCCTTTTAGTTTGGATTTGAGAAATAAAGGAGCATAGCTGCGGTAAGCAATAATTTAGTTCTCTGATTCACAAAGCTGCTCAGTGAGTCACTGAACCAGATCCCACTACTGACTAATATGTATTGATTTAAATAGATTTCATTATCTCATGATGGGTTTTGTTAATGACTGTAATGGTACATTTTTTCATTGTGTTAACCAAAAGTTTGAGGGAATTCCTTGTGATAAATCTAGTCTAGCAGGTAATCATGCAGCAATAACCAAGAAGACCTCACCCTACGCAATTACGTTAGGCAATTTGTTTTATTGCCATTTCAATTAAGTAGAGTAACAAAATAACATAGTTTAGGGCTGAGATGAGTAACTTATTATTTACAAATTTGCTTGTCGAGCTTTTAAGTCAGAAGGCAAGGAAATTCTTAAGACTTAAACAGTGATTCACCAGTTCCCATCTTGTTTATGCTAAGCTTTTCTCTGGATTGAATTTTTGCTTGCAAATGACAAAATTATAAGCCTTTAATTGACTGTATTTAATTCACTTCTGTATATATTGCTCTAGGAAAGTTAACAAGGAAAGGGAGAGGATGTAGTAAGTGACCTGCAAAGTGGAGTTTCTGTATCCAAATTGTGACATCGAAAAAGATTTCTGTTTTCTTACGCCTTGCACAACAGGAACACAGACTGGGATATGAGGATATATATAAAATGTCAGAATAACTCTGTAGAAGCTCCAAAGGCATGTGTCTGTATTACCTAGGATCTTGGTGTTGTCATGAAGGCAGAAATTGAGTCCAAAAGAACCCTACCTGCTTTAAGCTTAGCTGGGCAAATTAATTTAGTATAGATAATATACTTTTAGCACAAGATGGTGATAAATGGTGATATTAGTACCATTCAGTCTCTGTCCTTAATTTGCTCAGTAAAACAAAATACTCTCTTTTTCAGTTTGTTTGCAAATAAAGTGGATTCATCACACACTTTTCAGTCATGTGGTGAATTAGGTATTGGAGAAATTAAAAGTGTTGTCAGGACTAGTAAGGGAAGATATGAAGTCACAAAGAAGTCTCCATCTCAGAAAACCAAAGTCTGTGGACATTTGAATCTGTGGTTTCTGACTGTCTCCAGAAGGGTCCACTGCAAAATTGACATTCATTTTTGGGTTTGGATTTTGAACACTCCAGGGCTTTCAGGTAGGGCCCATCTCCAGGGAAAATAAAACTTAACCACAACCACCAACCCAAAACTGAACCCTCAAGTAACCTGAACCCAACTGAGTGAGGTTAAAAAGAGTTTGGTTAACTGTCTTGTTTTGTTACTGTTGGCGAGAAAAAGAAGTGGGAGTGAGAGATGCCTTTTTAGATATTTCTGACCCAGGTTAAATTAGGACATTAAAAGTCTTGTGAGGAAGTTTCAAGGGCTGATTGGATTACTTGGATCCCAACCTAGCCGGTGGAGATGAGTCCAAAGTTCCAGATGGTTATTAAATTAGAAAGGGAGAGATCATATGAGGTCTTCATTATTTCTACATAATACCTCCCTTAGTTCCTTATGGATAAGCATATCCCAAAGATACTCATCAACATCCCTATGGCATGAGGGCTTCTTAATCTGGTTAGCTTGTGTCTAGTTTGAATGGGAAGAACATTTCCAGAGCTGGTCAGCCTGTGGACCTTTCTATC